CAGCAGTCAGCCGTCTACCAGATTGACCCTGAAGGATGCTGTCTGGTTAGTGGTATCTATTCGTCGTGGGTAAGGACCCTAGAGTCCACTATACTAGCACATCATCGGGAAGAACAGCCTCATGGTGTGTCCCGTGCTGACGTTCCTCGGTTCGTCGTTCATGAGGTGCAGGTGAATCATAAATATCGGTCGGCTCTGTTACGGGATGCGGTTTCTAATTGGTGGGCTAGATTGCATACCGTACTAGTGGGGATTCATAAGCATCGCAGTCGAGGAAACGGGCTGTCCCAACGACGGCAACTGGAGAAAGCGTGTGTAGGCTTGGTTGAAGATCGTCCAGAGCAGGTCCATTGCAATATCCGCGATGGTCTGGAGGCTGGGTGGTCTGAATGGCTGAAGCTGCTTTCTGCCGTCTCTGAGGCGTCCCTCGACACGTTGTTGCGCTTTGCCACGTGGGCTGATAGAATTGCCAAGCGGAGCCAGAGGAGAGCGACGGCAGCGTCGCTCAAGGAGTTCCGCGAGTGGGCATCGTCGTCGGAGGCTCTGGGCACCTTGCATAGGGCTACTCGGCAGGACCCTCTTCCTCCTCTCGAGTTCCTCGATGATGACGGTCAGTTGTTATTTCACCCGAAGGACATCATAGATTTCAAATCCAGGAAATGGCGTAAGGTTTGGGCCCCAGAGGTTACTGATCCCGAGGCCGCTCTGGCGTCGGTGTTGGGTATTGTGCGAGATGCAGTACGTGACAATCCTGATCCCCTACCTCCCCTGGGTGTCAGTGACTTACGGCGTGCTCTGCGTGACATGAAAAGTAAGACGGGTTTAGGTGTGGATCGTGTGTCCCCTGGGGATCTCGAGCGTCTCCCTGATGTGGGTCTTGGAGCTCTGGCTGACCTCCTCAATTGCGTGGAGTCCCTGCTCGTCTGGCCTGCCCAAACGTTAGTGGTTATTGGTAAGCTCCTGCCCAAAAAGGCCTCTGGGGATAGAATTATTGGGCTCATATCTATGCTCGGAAGGGTGTGGAGCAAAGCACGTGAGCCTTGGGTCCAGCAATGGACGGCGGATACGGAGCCTTCTTGGGATGCCGCAGTCAAAGGCAACTCATCATTGCAAGAAGCATTTCGGAGGCTCCTTGATGAAGAGGTCTCAGCGATATTGCACATCCCATACGGCCACAGCTTGACGGATATTGAATCGTATTACGACACGATGTTCTGGCTCAAACTCGTTCGGGCTGCAGTACGCTTGGAATTCCCACCGACAGTACTCTACCTTGAGTTGGTCCAATGTGCATGCCCACGGACTCTGAATCAGTTGTGTGCATTCTCGGTTCCGTTTGAGGTCACACGTTCTATTATCCAGGGTCTCCGCTCTGGGACGCGCTTCGCGCGCATTATGACCTTTTTTGCGATGGATAAAATGTGCAAGGCGAACGTCCACTGCAGCCACAGACTTTGGATTGACGATTTATCCCAAGTGACGAGAGGTTCACGACGTCAGGTACGAGTCAATTTGGTGAAGTGCATAACGGACACGGCAGAAGGCTTCCACGGCCAGGGGCTCAAGATAGCTTCCAAGTCAGTGGTGGTCTGCAGTCACTATTCAGATGCAGTTGATGTAGTCAAGGCTCTTCGCAGGAAGGGCATTCACATGACAGCGGCACGCAGTTGTGTATATCTAGGTGCTGATCTTGGTGCTGGACGACGGCATGCGAGAGAGCAGAGAGTGAAGCGAGTTGTCAAGCACGTGGCTCGACACAAGCAGGTGCGCAGGTACACCGTCGCCATGCGCAGAGTCAAGATATCATCACGTTTGGAGAAGCAGGGAGGACAAGCAGTAGGCAGTTACGGTTACCAGCTGCACGGGGCGTTTGGCCAGTATCTTCTCCAACATCGGCGGAGGCTCGGTGCTTCTTGTCAGGTACGTACCAAGGGTAGGTGTTTGACGTCATTGCTGGCTATTAGGTCCCCCGAGTATGATCCCGCCCAGAAGTTTGCGCACGGTACTTTTGCCATGTGGCTCCAGCAGTGGCGGGATCATCCTGAGATCAGATCATCGGTGGAGCGTGCATGGGCCAAGGTCGTCGACAAGTTACAAGGAGTACCAGCAGCTCAGCGTTCTCGGCATGTACGTGGACCACTGTCGGCGATCATCACTTATATGTTGTCATTTGGTTGGGTGCCACGTGGTCCTACTGACTGGGTTTTACCTGCCTCGGACCACGATTGGCGCTTCCCAGCCGACGGATTTTCAGGTGTGAAAGCTTTGGACAATTTTGATGATTTCTTGGCCGATGTGCGTGTAGCTGCTATGTTACCTCACTGGTCACAGGCGGCTCAGCACTTCGACGGAGAGGGCATCCAAGATGGTATCGATACATGGTCCTTGAGACGTCTCTTAGAACAACTGGGCACCATTCAAGCAGGAGGAGCGAGATTGGCAGGGCTACTACTTTCCATTGCTGTCGGAGGCGCATGGCCTCGGAGTCGCAAGGGAACTCTTGCTGAGCATCGTGGCAAGAGCGAATCGGAGCTGCAGGATTTCATGACATGTCTTCGTTGTAAGAGTGAGGTGGAGACGTCGTTTCATCGGTCTTGGGCTTGCAGTTGTAATAAGGATTCGCCTATATATGAAGCTAGCGACACGTTATTTTCCTCTGCCCAATCTCAGCATGAGGCAGCGGCATGTTTCTGGCTCAGAGGTTTGATCCCAGCACCGTGGACGCGAACCCCAGACCCGCAGTTGACTGACGATTGGCAGTACAGTGGGATTGTTGATGTGGGGCCTGGCTGTCTTCCTCGAGGTACGGCAGAGCATCCCACAATCATTTTCGGGGATGCAAGTGGAGGTCCAGATACAGCTGATCCACGGTTGCGCAGGGTGGCCATGGGGGTTGTTGTGATGTCTAGTTATGATCCGCCAGCTGTGGGTGCCCACATCGTCGGCGGTCTGCCAGGATTGAAGCAGTCGGTTGCCAGAGGAGAGTTGAGGTCCCTGTGGCTCGCCATCTGGGCCAGTGAGGGGCCCATTCATTATATCACAGATTGTGAGAATGTAGCTAAGGGTTGGGCCCAATGCAAGTACTTAGATCCTCGGGGTGCTGATGCAGATTTGTGGGCTCGCATTCAGATTTTGATGAGTATGCGTGATGTGAATGATGTATCCGTGGAGTTCGTCAATTCGCACTCGACTGGTAGTGATATTGTTGATGGACGGGCTGTGCGTTGGAAAGTGATCGGCAATTCTACTATTGATGAACTGGTTGGTGATATGGCAGCAGAAGTACGGCTGCCCCCAGACATACGGCATCAAGTGTTGGACATCGAGCGACAGGCCTTCTTGGTGAGGCACAGGCTCCTGCGCGCGGCCGCAGACTCCATGGCCAGGGAGCTTCAGGACATCGAGAGGAGGAAGGAAGGCGGGTCACCTCCTCCTCCTCCTCCTCCCCCTGTTGCAGCTCCCGTGCCTGTTCCGAGTGCGGTTTCCTTTTTCTCGACCAGTCACCTGTTGGACGACAGTGGTCGGAAGTGCAAGCGCTGTATGGGCTCGGCCTCCCTGGGGCGCCTGGAAGTTTGGAAAGGCAGCTCCTGTTTTCAGCCCCTCAACCTGAATGGGGATTTTTACACAGTCCCTGACGGGCATAGGTTGCACGTGGCTGGGGACTGGGTGCACGATACACATGCTATGAATCTTAGCACGAAGTTGGGTCTTTGGTTTTGCGGGAGGTGTGGGTTCTTCGCCAGTCAGCAGAACCGTAACCTCCGCAAAGAATGTTGCAGAGCCACACCGACTGGAGAGGGTTATTTGAAGTTGATCCGCCAAGGTCAGTGGCCCAAAGTGCTAAGTAAAGCCGAGAAGGCTAGACGGTCTGATCCCAGGCGCGATCTCCCTCCCTCGGTCTAGGCTCCATTTTCCTCACTTAGTGAACAGACATTCTCATTCTCATTCCCTCCCTCCCTCCCTCCCTCCCTCCTCCCTCCTCCCTCTTCCCTCCTCCCTCCTCCCTCCTCCCTCCTCTCCTGCTCCTGCTTCTGCTCCTGCTCCTGCGTTCCGCAAGCCCCGGGACCCTCAGGCCCGAGGAGGGCCCCGGAGCGAGCGCACCACGGAAGCGCCCGACGCGGCCGACGCCGGCGCGGCCCCGCGCGCCTCTCAGCGTCCACCTCCTCCGCTTCCTCCTCCTCCTCCTCCTCTCCTAACTCCTCCTCCTCCTCTCCTCCATCCTTCCCCATCTCGATCCTCATCCGCCCATCCTCCATCTCCATCTCCATTCCTCCATACTCCATCCTCCATCCTCCATCCTCCTCCTCCTCCTCCTCCTCCTCCTCCTCCTCCTCCTCCTCGGGTGACTACCTACCAGACCACCCCAACCCAACCCGGAGCCCCGAATTTCGGGTTGGGGGGGCGGGCTTCACGTGTATTTGTTCATGCTTTCCCGACCCCCCCGCACTGGAAATGGATGGCAAACCGTGGCCTTCGAGTTGGGTTGGGGTGGTTTGGTGGGCGGTGAAGGGAGGGTGGTATTGCAATTTGGTGCGTTACGAGTCCGCCGCGGGAGCGACAACTCGAACCGTCAGTTTCTCCCTCTCCTTCCTCCTGCTGTCGCCTGCGCACAAGAGCGACTCCAGGCGAGAGTGAACCACTGGTGCCCGGCTCCGGGGAGACCGCAGAGGGCCCAAACCCAAGCGCGCCATCCGACGCTACCGCATCGCCCTCAGCGATCGGAGGGCCTCAGTGGGCGCGCACCAAAGCCCTGAGATCCGACGTTACGCAAAGATTGCAACATCGCCCGAAATCGCGACCAGAGCCCCCTGGACCCCATTGCTCTGCTGCAGACTTCGAGCCCGATCGATCCGTGTTGACCCCGAGAACCGAAACCAGGCGAAAACGCCATGCGTGGAAAATTGCAGCGCTTGGATTTCCAAGAGGTCGCTAGCGAAATGCCACTCTTGCGAGAGGCTGACTCCCCCTGCAGCGGGACTGGCCGCGACAGCCGGGCGCTCCGCAGTGCGTGCACTTCTTGCAGGGGAAGCCCACAAGCCGCGACCCGGTGTCGATGATCACGGAGACCCGCTGCGGCGGGCTTCCTCGCCGGCAGCTCTTCCTCCCTCCTCCTCCTCCTCCTCCTTTTCCTCCTCCTCCTCCTTCTCATCCTCCTCCTCCTCGCCGTCCTCCTCCACCATCCCCTCCACCTCTCCTTTCCCCTCCCCCTTCTCCTTATACTCCACCTTCTCCCGCTGCTGCTCTTCCTCCAGTTCCTACTCTTCCTCTTGCCTATGTTGTGCGTCCTCGTCTTCATTGCATCACCCTTGGTGTCTCCCTCGACCTCTCCCTCTTGACTCCTCCCTTCGTCATTCCTCCTGCTCATCATCATCTTCTCTCTCTTCTTATCCTTTTCTCACGACTGCTCATGATCACATTCCTTCTCCACATTACCAGCGAAGAAAGCCAGGTAAAAAAGTTTAGTACTAGTCCTACTACTCCGTCCTCCCTCCCTCCCTCCCTCCCTCTCTCTAACTCTCTCGCTAACTCTTGATGCACGTCTGCCTACCAGTCGGTCTGTCTGCCTGTCTGCCTGGCCCTCTGTGACTCTCCCTCTCTCTCTCTCTCTCGCTGCCTGGCTGCCCGGTTCCCTGGCATCCTACTTCCCAGGGAGGGGTACGGAGAGGATAGAGACGCACACACACAAACACACACACACACACATATATACACAACACTGCAGTGGCGCTTCGCGCCATGCACCTTGGTCCTTGAAGTTTGGTATGCAGGCGGAACAGAAGGAAAGTCAAGCCGACAATCTAGCGATACCTCCTTGTTGCATTTTCTGGCATCGCCGCTATGATAATGTTATTCGTTATCCTTCCTCCATACTTCTTTTTCCTCATTGTCGCCATACCCTGCGCATTCTCCCCATCCTCCTCGGCTCTTTTTGCGGAGGCTCCTCCTCGGAGAGCCTCTGGGGGTCTCGCAAAAGTTATGCCAAGCTTTCTTAAGGCCTTCTGGAGGCCTCTTGGGCGTGTCCTGGGGGCCTCTGGGGGCTTCACTCGGGTCGCCCTGCCTCCAACCGCGGTCTCCCTGAACGACCGGGTCACGATTTGGAATGTTTCGGAGGGTGTCTTGGGGCCATCTTGGGCCGCCATGGGGCTCTCTGAGGGCCATCTTGGACACCTGTTGTGCCGTTCTGGGGCTTTCTTGGACTGCCTGGAAGCCCTTTGGAATGGTTATGGGGCGATTTCAGAGCCTCCCAGGCGGCTTCAGACGCCCAGAAGACCGCCGTCTTGGAGCGTCGGGAAGCCCAAAAGAGGAGAACCCCAAAATTCACCAAAGACCAATAGAAAATCTTGGATTTACCAATCAGTGATTTTTGCCTCTTGGGGCCTTCTTGGGAGTGCTCTTGGAGGCCTCTTGGGACGTTTCGGGACGATATTTGGGGATATGATGGCTTCTTGGGGGTCGTCTTGAGGTCACGTCGGTCACTCTTGGAGCGCTCTTGTGCTGTCTTCGGGGTCTTTGGGACGTCTCCGATGACCCCCCCCGATCGCCCTAGGTGTGCTGGGAAGGCCTGGCAAAACGCCCTGCGAGGCCCGGGGGGCCGCTTCGAGGCCCGTCCGGAGGACCCCAAAGCCTCAGATCCCGGGAGCCCGGGTGTGGGGGGGGGCGGGACGGGTTTTCCCCCCGCCCGGGCTTGCAAAAATATAGGAAGAGGAATACGTGGGCATTAAAGGTACAGGGAGGGAGAAAGGGACGGGACGGGGAGAGGAGAGGGAGAGAAAGGGAGAGAGGGAGATAGCGAGAGAGGGAGATCGAGCGCAGAGGGAAGCGAGAGAGAGAGAGAGAAAGAGAAAACCATATATATATATATATATATATATATATATCCATATAGATATATAATGTTTATATATATATATATAGATATGTATATATATATATATAGAGAGAGAGAGAGAGAGAGAGAGAGAGAGAGAGAGAGAGACATAGCGGGGGGACTCAAGCGGCGCCCTCTCCTATCATCAGGTCGGTGAAATAATACGCGTACTTGTTCAGGTTCCCGAACAAGCGTGCCGACTCAACGCGGGACCTGCCAGCCCCGTCGCCCGGCTGCACGGTTTTCACCACCGAGGAGGGGGAGGAGGAGGAGGAGTAGGAGGAGGAGGAGGCGGGGAGGAGGAGGAGGAGGAGGAGGAAGGGGAGGAGGAGGAAGGAGGAGGAGAGGAGGAGGAGGAGGAGGAGGAGAGGGAGGCAGGAGCAGGCGGAGGAGGAGGAGAAGGAGGAGGAAGGAGGGGAGGAGGAGGAGGAGGAGGAGGAGCAGGAGGAGGATGACGAGGAGCAGGAGGAGAGAGGAGGAGAAGGGGAGGGAGGAGGAGGAGGAGGAGGAGGAGGAGGAGATACGAGTAGGAGTGGAGTAGGAGTAGGAGAGGAGGAGGAAGAGGAGGAGGAGGAGGAGGAAGGAGGAGGTTGGAAGAGGAGGATGAGGGGAGGAGGAGGAGGAGGAGGCAGAGGAGGAGGAGAGGGAGGAGGAGGAGGGAGGAGGAGTAGGAGGGAGGAGGAGGAGGAGGAGGAGGAGGAGGAGGAGGAGGGAGGAGAGGAGTAGAGAGGAGGAGGACGGGTCGCCTAAGCCCTTCGGAGAAACCCGCCCCGTCGCCCCCGCTTCCGCCCGCTGCTCCCGCCCTCTGTTTAGCTTTCTCGAATGGCGGGGGAAGAGGGGGAGGCGACGGGGAGAGGGCGCAACCACCGACAGCAGCAGGCGAAGGAGGAGGGAGGAGGAGGAGGAGGAGGAGGAGGAGGAGGAGGAGGAGGAGGAGGAGGAGGAGGAGGAGGAGGAGGAGGAGGAGGAGTCGGATGAGGAGGAGGAGGAGGAGGAAGAGGAGGAGGAGGAGGATAACCCGTCATCCTTCCCCTCCTTGTGCCACTCCTGCGCGTGCTCACTCTTCATGCTGATACCGCTGCCCTTACCAGCATCGGCTCCCACTTGTCCATCCACCTCTTGGGCCGCCTTGGAGCGCCGGAGAGCCGAAGATGCGAGAACGCTCAAAACCTGGAGCAACCTGAGGGCAATCCATCCCCAGACAAGAGGAGGAGGAGGAGGATAACCCGTCATCCTTCCCCTCCTTGTGCCACTCCTGCGCGTGCTCACTCTTCATGCTGATACCGCTGCCCTTACCAGCATCGGCTCCCACTTGTCCATCCACCTCTTGGGCCGCCTTGGAGCGCCGGAGAGCCGAAGATGCGAGAACGCTCAAAACCTGGAGCAACCTGAGGGCAATCCATCCCCAGACATGCGACGTCCATATTTTTTTAGAACGGCGTCCCTGGAAGTCCCAACCCTTTCCCCGAGACCAGTTTCTCATCCTGAGTCGTTTTTGACGGTCCCGGGGCCCGGCGAGGGCCCCCAGGGGCCGAAAATAGTGAAACGCCTCCGTCCTGATTTTTTAACGATGCGATCATGTCTGGGTCGTTGTGGCCTCTGGGGGCCCTCTTGGGAGGCCTCTGGGGAGCCGCCGATGCCAGCCCCGAGCGGATCGACGTGCCGTGGCCGACGCTGCAAACTCCGTGGCCATGGCGGGTCGGGGGCGCACGCCGCGCGCGAGAGCGCGAACTGCAGCTTGCCTCGGCACCGCGCCCACGTTCCCCTCAGTTGAATGGCCGAAAAGGGCTGGAGGAGGAGGAGGAGGAGGAGGAGGAGGAGGAGGAGGAGGAGGAGGAGGAGGAGGAGGAACGGGAGGAGGAGGGGGAGGAGGAGGGGGAGGAGGAGGAGGAGGAGGAGGAGGAGGAGAAGGAGGAGGGGGAGGACGTGGAAGAATGACGTATGGGGGAGCGGAGGAGGAGGATTGAGAGAGGAGGAAGGAGGAGTGGAGGAGGAGGAGGAGAAGGCAGGAGGAAGAGGGGAGGAGGGAGAGCCTTTGCCCGTTCGTTTGGGGCCGCGGGAACCCAACGGCGGGCGGCGGGGGGCGCCAGCGCGGTCCGCCAGCGCGATCGGGGCTGCGCGGGGGGGTACCCCACAACCACATTCCCTTCCGCTTAGGTCTGCGGGGCGGGCCAAAAAAAAAATAGCCCCTCCTGGCGGGCGCCCGCGCCGGGCAGGCGCCCACGGCCAAGCGGCCAGAGCCAGCCTTGGTTTGGGTTTTTCCTCGGTTTGGGTTGTTCCTGGGTTTGGGTCGTTCCTCGGGTTGGGTCTCTCCTCTGCCTATGTTCCTTGATTTTCCACAGTTGGGTTTTGTCCTCTGTTTGGGCTTTTCCTCGGTTCGGGTTTTTCCTCGGTTTGTCTTCGGTTTCCCCGGTTAAGAAAGAGTCCCGCCTGGCACCGCAGAGCTCGATGGCATCGGGTTGCGGCGAGGACGTTGTTTAGAATCACAGCTGCTCAGAGCGTCTTGAAGTCGCACCACAGCAGTATGCCGCATAATGGGGGGCTCTAAGGGTGCAGCTGGTGACCGTGGATGGAAGGGAAGCGGATCTCAAGATGCATGGGAGTGTGTTTCGTGCGGGACGCACAACGGAGGAGAGGATGCCACATGTCGCGGAAGGAAATGCGGAATCTCAGACCAACAGCATAGCCGGAGGACCCACGACGAAGCTACGAGGATGAAAGATTAGTGCATCCAGGAGTGCATGATGTGTACCACAGAATATGCCAGCAACAAAAGCAAATACTGCTCGCCTCCAAAGGGCTCGGGAGCGATGGCCCGTCAGAGGGAGGATCTTCACTCTAGGCTGAACACGTTGGTGGAGATTGTTGCCAAAAGCAAGGATACTATGTCGAGCACGGTGTCTCAACAGAAAGACACGGCCATATTGAAGCTCATGCTGCGGCAGCTCAAGAGCCCGACGGTTAGGGAGAAGGAAGCGAGTGATGGCTTACATCGAGCGGCGACGAAACTGGAGTCTCTCAGGAAGCAGGAGGGGGAGGGGGAGCTCTTCCGCAGCTCTTCCCTGGGCGCCGATGGCGCCTGTCTCTCCTGCGGCGGAAGCCCCGCCTGCGCCGCCGCGCGGATCCTCGGCTCATGCCTTCGTGGCCAGCTCGAGGTCGCGGGCGGGCCCTCCGCGGCAGCCAGCGGCTTACGCGCCAGCTCGACCAGCTCGATCAGCGAGTGGCGCTTCTCGCGTCGGAGGTAATCACGTCGGTTCTTCTCCTCGAACGGTGGGTTAGGTACACTCCGTCTCCCACCGCCCGAGGCTTCCGTGAACTTCACCTTGTCTATGTCCTGCAGGTTGCCCTCGTGGACGCTCGTGTACCTTACCTTGTCGATGTTCTGCTGGACACCGCACGGGTTCTCGTACTTTGCCTTGTCTATGTTCAGCTGGTCCACGAGTGGCGCGGGCTATGGGCTCTGCAGGTGGTTGCCGAGCGGCCTGGTCGCGGACTGGATGAGGTGGTATGCCAGGTCCGCGATCATGTTCTCGTCCTGCTGCGGTGGGTTCCTGCTTGCCGCCTCGCGCTGCTCCTCTCTCTCGGTGCGGAGGGCATCCTGTTTCTTCTCCTGCGGCAGAGGCCCTGCCTGTGCCGCCTCGCGGCCCCTCGGCTCAGGTCTGCGCGGCCAGTTCGAGGTCGCGGGCGGGCCCTCCGCGGCTGCCAGCGCTGTGCCTCTGCCTCCAGCCCCACGAGGCTCTCGCGGCGGCTTTCACGCCAGCTCGACCAGCTCCATCAACGAGTAGCGCTTCTCGTAGTGGCTGTGGTCACGTCGGTTCTTTCCCTCGGGCCGTGGGTTGGGCACGGTCCGACTCCCACCGCCCGAGGCTTCCGTGTACT